TTGTTCTGGGACTGCTAGTTCAAGCAAAAAGAATTCAATGACTCACAGATTGCAAAAAATAATGAAGTAACTCACAAAACTGAAGGAAAAGTAGCAGGTACAAGGCCTCAGGGACTGAAACTAAGACTCAATGCCTTAAGATACACACTCCCTCTAAGGACTGTGGCTTTTCTCTGTCAATAATCTTTCTATACTAGAAGGAAAGATGGATTATAGCTTATCTTTTACAATACCAGCAAAAGCCAGGCATGGTGAGGCACACCTATAGTCCCAGCACTCTGGAAGGCTGAGGCAGGAGGATCTCAAGTACAAGGCCAGCCTAGGCAACTTGGTGACTTAGTGAGACCTTGTCTCAAAGAAGAAAAAAATTTTTAAAGGGCTGGGAATACAGCTCAATCCAAAGGTCCTGAGTTCAATATCTAGTACAAAAACACTACACTACAGGTTGTAGAGATCAATTTCATGTCAGGAATCTGATGACTTCTGCTTATGTCACTAAAGTTTTGAGTTTTGCATCACTTTTACTGGTGAAACCATGGTTGAGCCAAACTGTATCATGTTTCCAGGTAGTGTGTCAGGAATGAGAAGGAAGCATACAAGCAAATTTAATAAGCCACCAACACCAAGAAAATATTATTATCCCTATCTTACAAAACCTGTAGTCTAGTAGTAGAGAGGAATCACACAAGTATGAAATTACTGTGGTAAATGTCATGAGAAGTCGTTGGTGACCACAGCAAGGAGAATGATTCATTCCAGAAATTTAGGGAAACTTCCTAAAAGAAAGTGACGGAATTTAGATCAGAAGGTAGGTAGGACTGGAAATCATTCTAGGCAACAGTTAGAGTGCCTAGATGAACAGCACTGGCATGTTCAAAGTATTTGCGGCAGATAGGAACCTTGCTCACTGTAAAACTCAAGAAAAAACTATTATAGCTAAGGACAGAAGGATGGGGAGGATGAAGAGGCAGATTATAATAGGCCACATTAAATATTTTGCACCTTAAGTATCATTAAAAGCCATTTAAATATCTTAAGGGGATAGGATGGGGGAAGCAGTAGACATGAGAAAAGATATGTTTAGAAAAGGTCATTCTGTACTGTATGGAAAGAATGGGGGTTGGGCCTAAATGACTGCAAGAAGATATATGAAGTTATAAATTGATTTCCAACTGAACAGAGCTTTATGTATTCCAACCTCCTACTTTCCCATTAAGTACATTATATTGGGGGGAAAAACAGTTAAATAAATGAAAAAAGCTTTTAGGTGATTTTTTATTTTGCAAAATGTTCTGCTTCTTTCTTCTGCAAAAACCTATTTCCCCCCTACAGACTGCAAATTTGGCCCAACTTGCTGTTTAAAGAATGCAGGAAAGTAAGGCAACAGGAACCCCATAACAATCTGAAAAGACAGTAAAGGATGAAACCTCAACAATTGTTCAGTTCCTACCTCTTTTAATCTGTGCAGGTCTCATGGTTTTGAATAGCATCCCAATCTGATGCTCTCTACCTCCAGCCTATACATCCTCCTGTAACCTCGGTGTCTGTCTACTCAACCTCTACTTCAGTGTCCAATAAGGGGTTCGAACTCAACACACACAAAATTCCTGATTTCTGCTTTCAAAAATTCAGATACATTATGTACAGGTACAGATTTCCTACCGCCACGTCCAGCACGGCTCTCGAAGTTCCCCAGGGGAAGGATGCTGAGATGATGGTGAAAGAAATAGACAGAAAGCTGAGGTCAGGTGAAACCCTCTCTCTGGTTGGAGGAAAGGAACTGATCGACCACTGTAGAGCTTTTATTTATACATTTAGCAAGCTGATGTTAGGTGAAACCCCTTTGCCTAACAGCTGGCTCGCCTCTCACACCGTGTTCTCGGGGGCTGGAACACCTGTTCACCTGGGGCTCTCAGCTCAGCCACTGCCAACACCCTATATATCATGAATGTACACATTAAGTATGACAAATATGGACTAATTTTTTTTTTATTTTCTTCAATCAGATTTTACTGGTACATTTTAGATACACATAATGATCACATGCATCATGAAGAATTTGTACCTGTACATAATACAACTTTTTTTTCCAGTCCCCTCCCCTCCAACCGTCCCTCCTCTCCCCATTTACAAAAGCTTTGTTTCCATTTTTGCCTTCTTTTCTCACTTTTACTTTTCCCTTCCCCCTCCCTCCTCCCTTGCTCCTCCCCCCATCTGAACATTTTCTTCTTATTTCACAATACCTAAAATACATTTTGGCCCTTATTTACACTTTCAGTTTCTCATATCAGAAAAAATAATACAGGGCCCAGGTTATAGCTCAGTGGCACAGATCCTGCCTGGCAATCGTGAAGT